AAAAGGATTAAACAGATATCCTATCCCTTAGGGGTTTTGTTACAAATTTCTGATTTTTATAGATAGACTAAATTAAATTATAATAGTAAAATTAAATTAAAAATCTTATTGCCATAATCAGTTCAATTTAGCTACTCTTTGTTTTTTGGAATCACATGGCTATCAACAGCGATTGTATTTTCATTATCTAAATTTGAATAATTAACCTCAAGGTCTTCTTATAATTCCTATGTGTGACCATAAAACTAAATTCTTCCATGTATTTACTTTTAAAATACAGTTGACTTCATGTGATCTGATTCATTTTAATCAATAGACTTATCGAAGACTGTGCCTTGTCCACTTTGACTTATGTTTACTTGATTATTATTTCTTTACCTAAGTTTTTTCTTTTAAGCTAATGATGAAATAGATGTCATTAGATTTTTGCTATTAAAAAGTTTAATTTCCTTTGATTTTGCTGTTTTATTCCCGAACTCATCTTTTATCAATATCTCTGGTAATTTGAAATTTATTTCATCTTGCAATGGCTATTAGTTTTGTTTATATCTATGCTTTTCTATTAATCTATTATTAGTATTATTATGGCTGCTATGCCTATCAGTAGACAATCTAAATGAGCCTTCATCATCACTATGTCTTAAGTTTTTAAGCAAAGGTGTGCTCACAAGTTTATCATGGAAATCTTTTGCTCCCTTGATAAAAATACCCTTAAGTAAAATTTTGTCATTTTCATCCATTGCATTATCCTTGAAATGACTAAGGGCTTTTTTAATTCTAACAATTGCAGCTAACTTTTCAAATTAGTTATTCCCATTAAGATGCTTAATTATATCATTTTTATAATAGTCAGAGTCTGAAGATGATGAAGAAGTTTGAATCAGGTTTTATTTAGAAAACTTAAGCAGAATTCTTCTTCTGGCTGGCAATAAAAATTGAACTAAAGATTTTAATTTTCTCATTGATTTTAAAATATTGACTATATCTAACTCTTACTCAAGCCTTTCATTTCCCTTCTTAAACTTAGAGTGAGGTCTAAATTCTTTATCTTATTTTAATTTTATCTAAGATTTGCAACAGACAAACTTGTAAATGTAATGCAGTATCATTTTATATCCATAAGAAAATTTTTTCCTTAGAAGTATTTCATCAATAATTCTATTTATCATATTTTCATTTAACCTATCTTTAGCCACTATATCTTCTATAACATTTAAATCTGAGATTCTAGGCTTCTCATAATTTGATTTATTTAAAATCTCAAGTTTTTATTAAAATATTTTCCTAAGTTTTGTAGTTACCTGCCTTTTAGGCTTAGCATCTATTAATTAAGTAGTCTTTTGATTAATAGTTGTTTAAACTCATTTGAATTTTTTGTGAATCTATTCCTAATACAATTTCTTAATAAAAGAGCTCCTAAACAATCTTTCCTGAAAGAACACAATCATGAGCAAAATAATAGAAAATATTGATTCTTTAAAACCCCCAATAGATTCAAGGACATCGAAAATATTTTCAACTATTCTTACATACTTCATAGATTTTTTGTCCATTTATATAATGATACTGACTAGTTAATTAGAATTATTGCCAGGCAGTTACGGATAGTTTGATTATTTTACTTATTCAATTTGAAAGAAATATTGATAGAGATACTCCCAAAAAACTAAAATATTATCCCATTATTGAGCAAATAATTTCTTAATCTTAACAACATGCTGAATTTCTCTTTTAGTTTCTATGTAGATGTCTGTATAATCCTCTAGGTAATACTAAATTTCTTCATTTCGTCCAAAATTTGTAAAATCAAAATTAGTGTTGCTAAAAAAATATTGCAATCTAACTTTTGAAAAGAAGTTCTCCAACTAGACTTGACTTTTGCAATATCCAAATTCAGTTGTGTTTTTACACATAGAAAGTGAGATAGTTATGAACTTAAATATTGAGCTATGCATATCACCCTTTAGGAATAATTTTTGATTACTTGTTATACAGTGATAATCTTAAAATTTAAATTTTTGAACCCTATCCTCAGAAATTTTCTAGAAATTTTCTTAGTCACAGTTAGATATCATTAAATCTTATGTTTTAATTGAGCTTTGATTAGAGGAAAAACTACCTTCTCCATAAATTGAATGCTATTAAACAACAATTTCACCATACGTCAAATCAAACTAATCAATGCTCTCCCCTTGTAATCTGAAAGCAATGTCGAATCCCATTTACCTAGGATCAATCTCATCTGTTTCATCTAGATTAAGAATCATAGGCTTTATTTAGGATACAGGATGTTTTCTTGAAAATAGGACATACAATTAGAAGGCAATAAACATAGAGATTATAATTCTTTATCCAAATGTAAATGTGGCTCCCAATAAAGTTTTGTATCTCTTTTGGCCTTTATATGTTAACTCGACTTTCCTTCCATAGGCATCTTAAGACTTCCATCATTTCATTAACTTATTGGTGCATTAAACTTTTTTATGCTTCGATAATGCCTTTATTATTTTAAGTTCTTTCTGTTCTCCAAAAATCTTAGTAACATCTGAGTTTTGAAAGTTATTTTCCATTGATTAGCTTTAAAAGTTATCCAAATTACTTGCAAATCGCCGATTCAAGTAAAATTGTAAATATCAGATTATTTTATTTTTTGATTTAATTTAGATTTCATTAACTTGATCTAGTGGGGTTTTGGGGTTTTGGGGTTTTGGGGTTTTGGGG